TTTCTCTAAATTTATTTTCAATTTCATCATCCACCTATTTTTCCGATTTTTTACATTAAATAAAAATTCATAAATTTAAAAATTATATTTTATACATTCTTTTTAAATATTTTAAAATTAATTCCGGAAATTACATACATATATATATATATATAGTTACATATATAGATGGCATATGTGTAAGGCTCAAATAATATTTTTAAATGGCTAAATTACTAATAATTTATTTTCTTATATAAGTTATCCAATTACATTACCTATTCAAACTAAATAAAATTTCAAATTATATTATAAAAATTTAATAACATAACTAATTATACAAACAAATGGTGTTAAAATAAAATATTTATAATTTGACAATAAAGGGATATGAATTTTTAGTTATATGAATCAAGGATGCTAAGTTTGATAAAAATGTGAAAAAATAAATATTTAATTGAAGTAATTTTGTGTTAAATATATAAATTTTGATTATTTAATTTTTTATGTCAAATATTTAATACGTAAAATTACAGAAAAAATATATATATATATATATGATATACCACTTAATTATTTTTTATTTTTTATTATGTTTTTTCTATTATTTTCATATTTAAATTTTTATTTATCGAATTTATCTAAATTTGAATTTGAATTTCAGTCATCTCCGCATATAATCCAAAAGAAACCATGGGCGATCCATTAGCATCTATTGGGCTCGGGTTCGGGTTCGGGCAAGAATTTGAATATTCTAGAAACCGCGTGGCCGACGACCACGCAACCAACCCGATGCCACGAAAGCCCAACAAAACCGAACCATCTAGACAATCCTAGACCGTTCGCTTCTCCCTAAATCAACGTCTGATGACCAGTCATCCCGCTCAGAACATTCTAGAATCAGACCTCCCTCCGCCAAAATTAAAACCTATATATGCACTAACCCTAGCGCTCCCAAAGCCATTCACTAATCTCATCTCAAACAAACCCTAGATCTATCTCTCTGGTTACTTTTCTCGCTTTCTTTCATTCCTTTCTTCGCTTGACAACCAGCTTGCTTGAGAATCAGTTTCGGTATCAACTATGGCAGGAAAAGGTGAGGGGCCGGCTATTGGTATTGATCTTGGCACGACCTACTCCTGCGTCGGAGTTTGGCAACATGACCGTGTTGAGATTATCGCCAATGACCAGGGAAACCGGACGACACCGTCTTACGTCGCCTTCACCGATACGGAGAGGTTGATCGGTGATGCTGCTAAGAACCAAGTCGCCATGAACCCCACGAATACGGTATTCGGTAAGTATTTCCTACTCTGTTGAATAATTTTCCGAGGGTCAATTTGGATGTCTCTTGGTGATGATTAGTTCGCAGATCTACGTTAATCATGAATCTGGTGTTCTTTTGAGAAATGAAACATTCAGATCTAGGATGTGCCAAGTATAATCTAGGTTCTATTTACTATTTGTGTTGTAAAATTTCGCAAGATCTGTTTCCACATATTATTTATGACTTGTCTGGTTATTTGACGATGGAGCTTTTGCATGTCGAGAGTTAAATTCATTGTCTAATTATCAACTGTTGAGTAAATTATAAAATTGAGTTTCATTTGCCTAGTATACTTAGTTGTATTATATACTTGAAACTGACGGAAGGAATTGAAGACTTCATTGTGTCGGGCTCTCTGGGCTTGTAGTCAGAGATTGTTTCTTATGGGCCTTTAGTTGCTTCTGGGCCTACGTTCTGAACTATAGAATATTTTCCCTGGAGAATCTCTTTTTTTTTTTTTTTTTTCTCTTCTGATTAATCAGTGAATTAGCTATTGCTTATGATTTTTCTGTGTCTGTCATAATTAATGAGTAAGAGGAGTATCCTTTTGGAGAAGCGAAATTGACAATTGAGTTTATTTGTGTTGCAGACGCCAAGCGTTTGATTGGTCGGAGATTCAGCGATGCATCTGTCCAGAGCGATATCAAGTTATGGCCTTTCAAGGTTATTCCTGGTCCTGGTGACAAGCCCATGATTGTGGTCAACTACAAGGGCGAGGAGAAGCAATTTGCCGCAGAGGAAATCTCGTCCATGGTCCTCATCAAGATGCGTGAGATTGCAGAGGCTTACCTGGGTTCAACCGTGAAGAACGCAGTCGTTACTGTTCCAGCTTACTTCAATGACTCTCAGCGTCAGGCTACCAAGGATGCTGGCGTCATTGCTGGCCTTAACGTGATGCGTATCATCAACGAGCCAACTGCAGCCGCCATTGCATATGGTCTTGACAAAAAGGCAACGAGTGTTGGTGAGAAGAACGTGTTGATTTTTGATTTGGGAGGCGGTACCTTTGATGTCTCCTTGCTCACCATTGAAGAAGGTATCTTCGAGGTGAAGGCCACCGCTGGAGACACCCATTTAGGAGGTGAAGATTTTGATAACAGAATGGTGAACCACTTTGTTCAGGAATTCAAGAGGAAGAACAAGAAGGATATTAGCGGGAACCCAAGAGCCCTCAGGAGACTGAGAACTGCTTGCGAGAGAGCAAAGAGAACTCTCTCATCAACTGCCCAAACCACCATTGAGATTGATTCTTTGTATGAAGGTATTGATTTTTACTCAACAATCACTCGTGCCAGGTTCGAGGAGCTCAACATGGATCTCTTCAGGAAGTGTATGGAACCTGTTGAGAAGTGCTTGAGGGATGCGAAGATGGACAAGAGCACTGTCCATGATGTCGTCCTTGTTGGTGGTTCTACCAGAATTCCCAAGGTGCAGCAGCTATTGCAGGACTTCTTCAATGGCAAGGAGCTCTGCAAGAGCATCAATCCGGATGAGGCCGTTGCCTACGGAGCTGCAGTTCAGGCTGCAATTTTGAGTGGAGAAGGCAACGAGAAGGTGCAGGATCTATTGCTCTTGGATGTCACCCCTCTGTCACTTGGTCTGGAAACCGCTGGCGGTGTTATGACTGTCTTGATCCCAAGAAATACCACCATTCCCACCAAGAAGGAGCAGGTCTTCTCAACCTACTCAGACAACCAACCTGGTGTGTTGATCCAGGTTTATGAAGGTGAAAGAACAAGAACAAGAGACAATAACCTATTGGGTAAATTCGAGCTGTCTGGCATTCCACCAGCACCCAGAGGTGTACCTCAGATTACAGTCTGCTTCGACATTGATGCCAACGGTATCCTCAATGTCTCAGCCGAGGACAAGACTACCGGACAGAAGAACAAAATCACCATCACCAACGACAAGGGTAGGTTGTCCAAGGATGAAATCGAGAAGATGGTTCAGGAGGCTGAGAAATACAAGGCTGAAGACGAGGAGCACAAGAAGAAGGTAGAGGCAAAGAATGCCTTGGAGAACTACGCATACAACATGAGGAACACCGTGAAGGACGAGAAAATCGGCTCGAAGCTTCCACCGGCAGACAAGAAGAAGATCGAGGATGCAATTGACTCGGCAATTCAGTGGTTGGACGGTAACCAACTGGCGGAGGCAGATGAGTTCGAGGACAAGATGAAGGAGCTTGAGAGCGTCTGCAACCCCATCATTGCTAAGATGTATCAGGGTGCAGGTGCAGATATGGGAGGTGGTATGGAAGAAGATGCTCCTCCAGCTGGTGGTAGCGGTGCTGGTCCTAAGATCGAGGAAGTTGACTAAGCTCTATGTTTTCTTAGCGTTTTTATTTCCGATGGTTTATGAATTTATGTTTTTTTTTTTTTTTTAAACAGTTTGGTTTTGAAAAGGTCGGATCCATTTTGAGAACAATGTATGTGATTACTGTTAGCCCCCGAAATTCTATTTGACCTTAGCAGCAGCAGCCATTTTGGCTTACATTCGAATGTTGGTGTAAATTTTTTTATTTTTATTTTTTTTGTTTCCATTTTTTTGAATGTTAATCGTTCTGTCTTTTTTTTTTTTTTTTTATATTTTAGTTTTAGGATAAGAAATTGTTTTGCCAGTTCGATCAAAAAGCAATTTTCAGTAAGTTTAAAACTGGGAAAATGAATATATTTAGAGAAAGTTTTTTGCTATAAAACAATAGACATCAACTTATACACCAAAAGGCTTCCAAAGCAAGCTTTTAACGAAACATTTATAAAATTAAAGTTACTACATTAGTCTTTGCACAGCCTTGCAAATTTTCAAAAATTGTCTGCAAAACTGAATTCATCTCTCAGCCAAGACCGCTGTAACTTGAAACCTTTTTGACGGCCTCTTCTTCCATTTCCACTAACAAACGACAGAATGATTCAACATCCTCTGCCTCTTCCTTGAAAATGAATCTGAATTCTTTCCACTCCGAATCAACCTTGCCATCTTCCTTTACCTGTTTAGCAACCTTTCCCAACACATCGAATCCCTTCCTATCAATTGAGAGCATACGTGCATCCTTCACACCATCCAAACCAGCTTATTTGTTAATATAAAGTTCAACAAGATAGATAGCTCAACCTTCAAACAATTTCAAAGTTCAGACAAAATTCTTTCTAAATTTATACAACATTGAGGTCTCTGAAGGTAGGAATCTATTTCCTACTTTTCAAGGATAGGGTTCAATTTTTACAATTAATGAATTTTAAGAAATAAGCAAAGTTAATTCAAACACACATATTATATAATTGTTTGTGTACTCAAGCATGTTTGTTAAAATTTATGTGAGAATTAAAAAATTGTGAATTAACTAGGAATATGGGGAAGCAGGAAAATGGGAAGAGAGCAAAACCAATACTAGCGATAAATATAATAAAAATGTCATATGACTAAACATTTTACCTTTGCTTTTGCGTTTAAGTAGATTAGACAGAAGAGCATTAAAGCTCTGCACCTTGATCCACTTTGGTTGATGCCGTCAATGAGTTTTGCCGAAAATGGAGCTGTATATACAAGACAGAGTAGGGAGTATCATACTACTAGTATTTAAATGGGGTGCTACTGCCATACTTCCGAATCAAGGTACCTCCATGTTTTCAGCAATTAAATTATGGTACATTTTCTGCAAAAATCATAAACAGAGGCTACCATCTCTATTTATAATCAATGTCTTACCCAGTGCATCTGCTTTAGATGTCTCCAGATCTTCCAAATCTATTTCATGACTCCTTCCTCCATGGCCATCAATAAACATGCATGACCTGGGAAAACAAGGATTTCATGTCAGATGTGGGTTGATGTTTCCTGCCCCGGTCCCTTTTTGGTTAGTATAATTCTGTATCGAAACTTTTAGTGTACTCGTGAGTTGTGTCTGGAACATGCAGACCTATGCAGAGTTATTTAAATATGCATGCTTAAACAGTGGGCACTTTAAGTTGCTTAAAGCATTTGGATGCTACTTAAAAGATAAACAGTTAACTGTTTGAATTAAGATGTTCACTATAGAAAAAAAGCTGATCATAGAATATAACTATTTCTTCTAGTTTTTAGAAAAAAAAAAAATGAGAGTATATAAGTAATTGAGCATGTCAGGAAAATAAACATGATATATCAACATAAAAACTTAGGAGGGAGGGGCTTATTTTTTTCCTGCTTAAAACTGGTCATTGACACCTAATAAACATTCTGCTCATTGTAGTACCAAACAGGTGAATTTAAACATAGTGCTTAAAACTATTTATAAGGAATAAGCAATGCGAAAACCTTCTACATTGATTTGGATCGAAAACTTCCAGTCACTACATGAACTTTAAAGTCTTTTCTTTTCTTTTTTGGTGAACGAAATTTAAAGCCTTAAAACAGAGTATAATCCCTGAAAGATCTGAGACTCAGTATTTACCTTGGAGTGAACTTGTAGACCACATAGTTTTCATCCCCATTGAGTAGATCTTTAAGGTTTTCACTTTGGGATGTCAAAATATGATTCGAAGAACTTAGTACACCTGAAGCCGTATAACTTAACTGACTAATTGCTTTCTGTTCAGACAGTATGACTTCTTCAAGGCTTTTTAAAACTGATCGAACCTGTCACAAGAAAGAAAATTTAGCATATCTTAACTCATGCTAATCAACCACCATAATCCGAAGTTTCATTAGGCCTGGCAGCATAAATTATGCTTGTGCCATCCTAATTACATCAGGACATCCACAAAGCAATATTCAGGATAACATAAATGATGAATGTTCTATCTGACTAGCTTTTGTCATAATGGTATGAGATGAACGATTATGTACATACACAATATTTCCTCTTACTATTTTCTTCTTGTACCTACTACACTCAATACAATTTCAAAGACAACTCCAAATTTCAAGCAACTTAATTATATTAAAAGCAAAATAATCATACTACCATGGATAAATGACTATAACTTTGTCAGGTATTATGCACCAGAAACCTAGATCATTCTTTACATCAAGACTCAAGTGAAATGATAATTTCTGAAACTGACTTCATAAATTAGTTCATGCAGTAGAACAAAGAAATTAGTAAGGACCATACTCAAGACATCAATTTGCACAAGTTATCGCTTACAAATTAACGCAACTTTCCTGTCAGCATAATGTACCAATTCACTGCCGTCTAATACTTTCCAGAATCATTAGAAGTCAAGTTAAGATCTCCTTACCTTTTCATCTTTAAGAGGCACAACATCTCCTGTTAAAGCTACCCGAGCTGGTAACTGCAGGAAGCAAAACTAATAAGTTAAAGGTTTGCCTTACGTATATGTCTGTAAATTCGTAACAACTTAAGAGGAAAGACATCTTATGAAATTGAATACCATACTGTCAAAAAGGAGTGGTGAAGCAAAGAAATTTCCACAGTTAAGTGAAACAGAAAATACGTACCAACACTAACCTTTTTCATTGATTTAAGTAAAGTTGCTAGGTGCCCTGGAAATTGATTGGCTACAGCAAAGGAACCACGCTCATCAATGACAGTGTTCTACATGAAAAAAGAAAAAATTGAACATATCAGGCACAGACAATTTCCTATTAAAGCAACTGTTTCTCTTTTATGAGAATCTTACTAAAGCAACTTGAGAGCTCACAATGGTTCAAAGGCTTGGGGTGGAAGGGAGACCTCACTTTAACTGCTAGAATCAGTCATACTTGAATAAGGCCATTCCATAATGAACTAGTTAATGAGAAGGGAGCTACTGGTATTTTTAAAATATGGCACTACCAGTCATTGGAAAACAGAAGAATGAAACAAAAAGAATAACATTCCTGCAATTATTGTCTAAATAATGAAAGAATGTTGTATCTGATTTCTTTTAGAGATTAACATTGCAGGGAGGAAAAGATCTAATAGATCAGAACAGCTCTTAGAGGTAGGTAACATTACTGTTTCCAAGAAAACAGGAAGCTTGTCCTCCACAGCTCTGGCAATCTGGTGCCAGGAAAATAGTGCAAACTAAGAGGGCAGTAAGAGAAGAGACTGAGACAGAAAAGAGAGGAGACATAGAAACTAAGCAACTTGATAACATGCTATTTACACTGTACTATCCAATACTTCCTAAGGATTACAACATAAAAGATAAGAGTTCGGAGATTAATCCAGCCCACGAGCTTTATGCTTTATGTAATTGCAGAGAGGAAAAAATAATCCAATCCACCATTTCTCTTCTTTACAGTGCTCTACCCAAGTCTTCAGCTACAACGTTATTATTTTTTTTTCAGTTCAATAAGTGATGACATGTACTCTCTTTATTTTTTCTTCAGTAAAATAATTGATTGTGACCAATTATCCAGAAACTTGATCTGGTAAAAAATAACCCAGTTTATTCTCTCATCTACCACACCCCCTTGGGTACAAGTCCAGCCATGATGTTAAATGCATAGATCAAGCATAGACTCAATACTGAAATTAATTACTACAAATAGAATAACGAGTATCAAGTGTTTAATCTCTAATATTAACAATATGTAAAACAATTGATTTTGGCAAATTATTCCAGAAAGGTCAACTGATAGAAAATGACTAATCCCATAATCTTGCATACTCTTAACATCTTCTATATGGGTTGTGCTTCAATCTTAGCCTCCGTAATGTGTAGCTCAACCAATGTCTTATATGGATTTTGTTATACAACCAAGCATAGTGAAGAAAGGCCAACCACTTCTACATGTGGAAACTTTCTTCAGAGAATCGATTCAAACACTCCTTTGTATCTTCCATAAAACCCAGACTTCTCAAAAGATTCATCTCCAAACCCACTTGAGAGCCCTTGTTAGAGCCCAACACACGGCTTCAATCCTTTTTGGTAGCCACTCTTTCTTTCACCGAAAGTAAGTTGGAGCTGATACAAAACTATTATATAGTCTTGACCTTGTATACAGTCTCTGCCATCTTAACCATCTGGTAGCAGGGTGAGAACAGGCATCTCCTTCGTAGAAACTACTATTCTCCCAATAAAAAAGTCCAATCCTAAAGTGGTTTTTCTAGATCTTTATTCTCAAAAGAATCAATTCAAGATTTAGACAAAGAATCAACCTTTTCGGAGAAAAAAATAGTTAAAAGTCTTCAGGCTTTTTAGTTAAAAAAAAATGGGAATCGTAAGGTTTGATACCTTTTGATGCCATGAAGATAGTGAGAGACATATATAGGAGAAAAAATAGAGAGGGCAGCGAGAAGAGACTGAGAGATAAAAATGAAACAGAAAGAGTACGAACAGCAATGAGAGCAGAGAGAGAAGAAAGACAGAGGGATAACCATGTTCCTTTCCTTCTATACTAGTAATCCCCTAACTTTGTTACGAACTCAACTACCTCATTTCCTCCGAGATCAGAATCCCCTCTTAATTTGAAGAGAGAAAGATGAAAACAACTTTGTTCAAATAACTAAAACTTATTAAGTAAAAACAGCTTCTCTATCATCAGGAAATATTTTATGATAGCAAGTAGGAACCAAGAACATGAGATCTCTAACATTGTTCCAAACAACTTCTGATGAATAAAAGCAGAGCTAGTGAGAAGCACATGAAAATTGTTATTTAATACAAACATAATATTACCATAAACCCATACTCCCCAAAGAAAATCCAGGAAAGTTGAGTTCATGTTTGCAAATGGCTCAAGTGTCTAAAATGATTTGTTCACTTTCTCATGACAATGTAAGATAATTTTTTCCTTACCCCAACATTACATAAAAAATAAATGAATAAATATGATAAACCCACACGCCACAGATCAAGGGAAGAAAGGAAAACATGCATACTGCCGACTCGTCAAGCCACCATCCTCAACTCCCCACTTCTGCAGTAGCTGCATTTTCCCTTTATCATTTTCTTTTGGTTTTTATCCTTAGAAGTAGGAAGCATATTGTTTCATTTTTCTGTATTTAAGAGCCGCAATTTTGGAATAAAAAGGGGCAGATAAAATATTTTCAAAAACTTTTATTAGTAATTCTCAACATAAAGAGAAACAAACTTGTAATTCTTTGAAGCTCTGACTGGGACCTATCAATTAGTATCAGAGCGGGATTAAATATCAGCTACATAGACCTCTATGGCGTCGAACAAAGAACGGATTGAAAACCTTGAGGCTGGGCTGGGTGGCTTGCAGGACAGTGCAAGTCGCTTGGAAATGGGAATGGCTGATAAGCTGCAGTTGATTGAAGAGAACTTGTAGCGCCTTTCAAACACAATTACATTGAGCCATGAGGGCTCCACAAGCCACTCTCTAGGGCAATTGGGACCGATACGACTCAGCAAGGGAGCAGAAGACGAACAACCAGACATGGGGTGGCAAGGGTTTTATCGAAGCTGGCTAAGCTAGACTTCACGATGTATGTTGGCGATGACCCCACCAAGTGGTCGAGCAATTCTTTAAATTCCAAGGCACTGCCGACTACCACAAAGTCTCATTGGCTGCCTTCCAACTTGAAGGGGAGGCTAATCAGTGGTGACAATGGCTGCAAAGGGCGTACGGAGAAGAGGGCCGAGTGGTGACTTGGGCTAGGTTCACTGAAGAACTCTAGGCCCACTTTTGGCCGACAGAGCATGAAGATATTGACGAGGTCTTGTCCAAAATACGCCAATTGGGCTCGCTGAGAGACTATCAAAAAGAATTTGAAAGGCTGGGTAATCGGGTTCAGGGCTGGACCCAACTCGTGGGTACTTTCATTGGTGGGCTCAAACCAGAAATCGCAGATGACATAAGAATGTTTAAGCTCAAAACGCCGAAGTATGAAATAAGCCTGGCCCGCATGTGTGAGGAGCTGCTGGGCCGTCAAGATAGGCTGATCTAGGTGGGGCGGACTCAACCCGATCAGTAAGCATTTTCCCTACTTGACCAAACCATGTGAGCCCTAGCAGTGACAACCACCGCGCCCAAGCAGTTATCCTGGGAAGAAGCACAGCGTCGCCGAGCACAAGGGTTGTACTTCCACTATGACGAAAAATTTACATTTGCCCACAGATGCTGCCGACCCCAACTATTGCTTCTAGAAGGCGACAAAGAGGAAGAAGATGCTGAGCCTGCGAAGCCTGGCTAAATGAAGAGACCAAGAGCACCTTAACCTTGAGGACAAGGTTCTAAAAAATGGGGAGGCAATGATAAACCCACACGCTGCAGATCAAGGGAAGAAAGGAAAACATGTATACCACAGACTCGGTCAAACCACCATCCTCAACTCCCCACTTCTGCAGTAGCTGCATTTTTCCTTTTATCTTTTTTTTTTTTTTTTTTTTTTATCCTTATCAGTTCCTTAAAAGTAGAAAATATGTTGTTTCATTTTTCTGTATTTAAAAGCTGCAATTCTGGAATAAAAAGGGGCAAATAAAATATTTTCAAAAACTTCTATTGGTAATTCTCGCCATAAAGAGAAGTAAACTTATAATTTTTTTAAGTTCTGACTGGGCCCTATCAAAATATGACTAAAAAAAAGAATGCTCAATATTCAAGCAGATAGACAAGACGCGCAGGTGAAACAAGAAACATCCAACCCCAACGCATGACATATTTAGACAAAAGAATATGATATTCCAGCAAAATAGATTGCTAAAAAGGACAACAAGGAGCAATGCCAAGGCTCAGCAACTGAATTACTTATGTTTTTGAAAACAAAAGCACTAAAATTAAGGTTTTACAATTTCTGAAGTTTCACCATCAAAAGCTATTTAAACTTCAAATATAAATGAGCTAGTCCTTTCCAGAACATAAATAAGGATCATAATGATATCCAGAAAGCAGAATGTAGATGTTCTTGTTTGAAATGTTAGAGCGATGCCTCACTATCAAGTAAAATCCTAAGCATTCCCAGCTCAAGGACGATAAGATAGTAGGAAATTAATAAGTAAAAACATTCGAAGCAATTACAAAGTAGAGCTGAAGCATAGAAATGAATATACCACATTGTGTAGATCCTTTTCGGGTACCCAGATGTAAGGCTTTCCTCTTCTGATTATGTACTTAACCTTTGAAGTGTATATACCCTCCTTACTGACAATAAAGTATGAACAAAAATTTGAAATCCATTTTTTCCTCAGACCTCCATTAAAAACTAAAAAGCTTTATAACGAATTGAAAGTTGCTGCTACGAAGCATTAAGAACAGAAGAAAAACTACAATTACCAATCACAAATCTTCCTTTTTCTAGTCCCTAAGGAATCCTAAAAGCCCATGTTAAGCACATATAACGGACTATATACTCCTATCAGACTGCAAAAAGCACTTCTTTTTGGCACAGGTTGAAGTCCAAACATGCATAAACCTTATGTTATAAGTTCCTTTTGTTATATTGCTTACTCTTCAAGCATTCTCACCAGCCAAACAGACTTCAGATGGATTAATAGGTAAGTTCAAGAAAATAACCCAATTTCATTTTTTTCAAAAAAGAAATAGAGACCTTCCTTTGGCATCCGCTTTAATCGTATTGAGGTGACCTTTCCAGTTTGAGGCAAGTATATTCTGCAAACAAAATGTTCTGAAGTCAATTCAACAACCACATGAGATTAGTCCCAGAAGAATAAAAAAAAGAGATTTACAGGGGGAGATAAACCTTGCATTTCTCTGCAAGTGTTAAAAGCTTTGCCTTGTTACCCTTCATATCTCCCAGTTCTAACGACTCGCACACCAACTGTTCGAAGAAATTACTCTGCTAAACGGGACAGAAGCTCGCCTGCGCGCGTAAGAAATAAGAGAGGTTTATGGGTCAATCTGTTAAATAATATTAAATATATAATTAAACAAAATAAAAAATATATATTAAAAGCTAATTGCTCAAATTAAATAAATAAATATTTAATTAATCAAAATACAGAAATAAATAACTATTTATGTAAAATAAAATTTTAAACAATTAATTTAACAAAATATGAAATACGGACACGGCAGTTCAGCCTATTATTTTTGTCCCCTAAACTTGCCATTTTCCGGACTACAGGAAGTCATATCCGGGTTTCCGGGTCGGGTCGGATGCGGTTAGGGTATTCTTGCTGATGCCCATTCTAATCTGCAAATGAAGAAGAGAAACGTCGCGACCTACCGTGTTGAAGTCAAACTCGGTCAGGTGAGTTCAGAATTCTAGTAGCTCATCGCGATGATATGTCATCAACAGAACAAAATATGAGATAAGTGAAATTTTTGATTGCGTACAGTTGTCAACCGATATGCGATCCGATTCGGTAGTTTGGGGTCCGGTGGAAGAGGAGGAGGAGGAGGCAGAAGAGGGCGAGGAAGGAGACGGGTCACCGTCGTTGGTACCGTCATCATCGCCATGGTCATCGTGCTTCGAGAAGGAGAGGCACGTCGTATACCTGGAGATGATGTATGAGATGTTGCCTCACTGCTATCAGACTCAGGAGATCAATCGTCTCACCCTCGCTCACTTCATCATCTCCGGCCTCCGTCTTCTCGGGGCCTTCGGTCGCGTATACTCTCTCTCTCTCTCTCTCTCTCTCTCTGTATGTATGTGTGTTTTTACAAGAGAAATGGGCCGTAAGAAGAAGCAAACCGAATTTCAATTTCTGCAATGTTACTGTTCTCAGTTAGTTACAAAAGATTTGTTTGTGTCTCCGAGTTTGGCTCCCGAGAAAATGCAATGAAAAGGAAAACTGGCAAATTTAGGTATTACCTTCTTTCTGGAAAGAAAATTAAGTGACTATTCCTGAAGAAAATTCTGTTAGCTGCTTGAGCGCATTCGTTGAAGCTAAGACTTGGGAAATTGAGATGATTTATTGGTTAAATTGCTGAACATTGCATATTCGATGCTATTGTTTCTGTTAAATGGCTGATTTGATTTATTATTATGCTCTAGAATGTTAGAGATGGTAGAAATCATATCATCTTTTTGGTGCCATCCATTTTGCAGGTTGATAAGGAAGCTGTTGCTAATTGGGTCTTATCCTTTCATGCTCAACCAAGAAACAAAGCTGAACTGGGAGATGGTACAGGCTTGTTTTCTATCTTATTAGTTCTCGGTGTTATTATTGTGGAAATGCTTTAATTATCGACGAGGATAGGAAATTGTCTGATGAGGTCTTGTTTGATTACAAGGAAAATTCTATGGGTTCCATGGTTCCCGAAGCTCTCAGTTCCCTCCAGATAGTAATGGGGTATGTGGAACTTGCCATGAGTATCTTTTAATGCTTATCTCGAAAGCAGTTAGCTTTTGCAGAAAAAGTCTACATTTAGATGTTATCTTTCCTTTCTGCTATGTGGATGTAGGGATTGTTTTTGATTTATGTAGGTTTTGATTCATAACGGCGGTCACTTGGCAAGTACGTATTGTGCACTAGCAATCCTGAAGAATGTAAACTACGATTTTGCAAATATTGACTCCGAATCAATATTGATGTCGATGAGAAATCTTCAGCAACCTGATGGGAGGTATGCTTTTGAGCTCTGGCCAATAAATGGTATTTCTGGGAACAATACTTTGTTCATTCTGCCACTGACATAGCCTCTCTTCTTCTTGGAGGATATTGTACAGCTTCTGTTAAAATACAAATTGGTTTTTGCTTAAAACTTGGTTATGACTTCTTTTTCTACATTTTCTAGTTTTATGCCCATTCATACTGGGGCAGAGATGGATCTTCGTTTTGTTTTTTGTGCTGGTAAGAAATGAAAATTTTATGAGCATATTGTTAAGTACTTCAATTTGTATATCTATAATGAAATACAAGTATAGCTCATTGGTGTACCAGCTGCAATCTGTTACATGTTGGAAGACTGGCGTGGCATGGATAGAGAGAAAGCCAAGGAGTACATATTAAGCTGCCAGGTGTGTGAGATTTAATCTAATGCAATTATTTGTTTCAATAAAACTATAGTAACATACATTAGCACTGTTCTTACAGTCATATGATGGTGGCTTTGGATTGATTCCTGGCTCGGAATCTCATGGTGAGTGAAAATGTTGTATAATTGTTGATATTCTTAACCTAAATTCTCTTACTTCGAAAATAAATGATAGTCCATGAATCTACTGTATCTCATAATAGTTTTTTTCAACTCTTTTTTTGTTCATCATACCAAGATAAATGATAACGTCCATGAATCATTTGAATCTCATAATATATTTTTCAACTATTTTTTGTTCATCATAACTAGTGTACTTTCTGCATTTATCACAACGATGACTAGATGTTTCATTTCTCCCTGTAATTACAGTAGGAAAGAAAAAGTAATGTGCATCAACTAGCTTCATGCTATGTATCTTCCTCTTTCCAGAGCCAGACTGTTATTATATTTACTGACCATTCTCCATCCTACTGACACAGGAGGTGCTACTTACTGTGCTGTTGCATCTCTCCGATTAATGGGATACATTGGAGATGATCTTCTGTCTGAAAGCAACTCATCTTCTCTCATTGATGTGCCATTGCTTCTTGATTGGAGCTTGCAGGTTCTTCTTTCCTGAAAACACTTGGATGCTTAAATGACCAGTTGAGCCGAAGGCCAACAGAACATAGAAGAGCCATTACTTCAAAATACTACTCAACCCAGCTGATTAGCATTCTGGAAAAAAATGGCTCTTCTATTTTCTATTTGCCTACTTGATTTCCAGAGTGAAGTTTAGGTAGTTTTAGTTTTGCTTTAGCCATAAAACTAAGTCTTAAATCTTTTTCTCCTTCAGAGGCAGGCAGGTGATGCAGGATTTCAAGGTAGAGCCAACAAACCTAGTGACACATGTTATGCATTTTGGTGAGTGCAAGAAAATCTTTAGGAAGTTCCAATATAAAAGTTGGCTGTGCCTTGATCTAGGCCTTGTGCTTGTGTAGGGTTGGGGCAGTTTTAAGGATCTTGGGAGGCTACAAATTTGTTGAGAAGAAAGCTTTACGCCAGTTTTTATTTAGTTGTCAGTCTAAGGTAATGCTGCTTCTCCTTTCTAGTCAGTTTGATTATGAGTTTAGTGCCATATAAAGTCTGGATATGATATTGATGTTTACCTTTGTCTGGTGAGATAAATTGTTATCATCAAATTAGCAACCTAAGGCTTTTCTCTCCCACACCACAAACAATGCACTGTAAAAATAAAATGCGTGAGTGGTTCTCAAGGGCTTCCCCATGCAAGAGAATGTCTGGAGTAGAATGCATATGCTTCTTACTGGTGTATGCTGACAGCTACCTTCCACTCTTAGAATGTTGAAAACATATGATGCTTGCAAAGCATAAAAACTATTGTGAGAACTTTTTCTGTAAAATGCAGTGTCAAGAGAAATGGAAAACAATGTTTAAAAATTGAATCATAATGCTCAAAGTGTCGAAGTTACTGTGCATGTAAATGCACACGTCTTCTAATGTACTACCATATTTAAGTTTTAATAAATTTTGTTTAAGTTTTCTATACATGTAGCGTTACTCTGAGAATAATGAAAAGTTGCTTACTCATAAAGTCTGTCACTTACATTGCTCATATATGTTTGTGAACCAGTATGGTGGTTTCAGTAAATTTCCTGGCGAGTTGCCAGATCTGTACCATTCCTACTATGGATTTACTGCTTTCAGCCTCCTGGAGGAACCTGGCCTGAACCCACTCTGTGCTGAATTAGGAATAACAGATCTTGCTGCCTTAGGAACTTGACCGTCATAGTAACAAATCTTGGTGTAAAATTCACAATTGAATTTCATTTTATTTCATTGCCAAGTTATAAATCTTGTTCATCGTGGTGTAAAATTGAAACTTGGCTGCAGTTTCTCGGGTTTCAAATTCATCTTGTACCATCTACTTTCCTCCTCACGTTAATCAAAGGAAAGTTGTATTCTAGGGCAGTATCTTTTAAGATTTGTGAGCTATACATACTAATTTATCTTTAGAAATTGAATTTGGAAAAGACCTATATGATTTTCGACACTATATATATTTATCTCATTTTGTATGCGAGAGGGAGCAAGAAACCAGGGACACTCATAATTCCAATTTGACTGGGTAAGAGAGATACGGGTTTAGAGAAGGAGAAAACAGAGGGAGAGAGAAGAAGTAGAAGAAGAAGAATATTGGTTTGGATTTCGTAATTCTTCATTGAATCAAAGCTTATTCGCTGTAAGACGTGCCAGTTTGTTAGGAGATGAGATGGTTGCAACAGCCGGCAAACAGACTCACCGAACAGACACCTTCCAGATTATTTTAACGGCGAAAGGCATCTTTACTATTGTCATTTTACTCCTCTACATTTTTTTTTTTTTTTTGTGGTTTGTTTTTCTCTTTTCTGAATAATGGTTTTCAGAAAAATAGCAAGATGACTCGATATGAACTTTGATTCATTGTCACTGTAATTTCATTGGTTATGAAATTCATTAGAGATGGTCTCAGATGTTATTAATTAAAGAATTTAAGTTACACAAAGAAAAGAGATGGATTATGATGATTCATTAAAGAATCCAGTCATGACTTTCTATTTTTCATTTTTATAATGAATACTTAGAGCATAAAAGGTCCAATCTTTGAAACAAAATTATTTTGATTAGAAGAAATAAAAGTTATTTTATAAAAATTTTGATCAATTTTAAATAAAATTAAGATACTAATTTTTAAATTGATGAAACTGTATTTTAATCACTGCTAACAATCTCTCCTCTCTTATAATTTCTACTACTAATCTGCATACTGCCCTTGACAAATTTCAGAATGATTTGATCAACAACTAACATTGAAAAGCATTCATTAAAGGCATGCATAAATAAATGATGGCACAAGTAAGAAATGGTGGAAGAGAAATAAATCTAATGATGGTTGGAAGTGGTGACGGGCAGCTTTCGGTGTTATACCACTCAAGAACAACATACCTTCTCTCTTTGTTGTTTACTCAAAAAGCAAAACACCACCATTTTTGTCTCTTTCCTAATTCCTACCACTAATTGATGGATGGTGTGTACCCAATTTCAGCCCATAGGTTTTTCTCAACTTCAATGAAGCAATCCCATAGGCCGGTTCTGCTATTTCCACTCCCAAAATTGCTTATCCTACTCTTCTTCCTTCCTAAAATGAATCCTGGCAAAGGCAGGTGCTACTATGGTAGTAATTTAAGTTTGTATACAAATTTATTATTCAACAAAATTACAATTAAATGTTAAAGTATCACTATAGAATTTACCGGGAAGTCACCACAGCATTTCTGCCATTCTCCACACTTCATTGTTTTGTCTCAAACCCAAAACCCACTTTCACTTTGCCTTTTGTCAGATGGCAATCAGATTCAGATGGTACAAATCAAAGAAAGTTTTTTTTTCATGTGGGGCAAAAGGATAATCACCCAAACAAAAGTATCCAGAGATTTTGACATAACACTGAATGATCCTATATATGTCTAGTAAGCATGGAGGTGCCAAGAAAGAAAAATACATTTCTAAGCCAAGCCAAGAACTGAAGAAAGAGAGAAAAAATGATTCTACACTAGTCTATAGGCAGGAAATCAGTGGTACCCATTACTCAATTAGAATGATTACAGGTATCAGACAGCTCAGAAGACATGGAGATTGAATAAAACAAATAACCCCACAGGTCCCCCACTTGCATTAAACCAAACTTTTTAGCATCATACTTGAGAGAATGTTCTCCTCCCCCCTTAAAAATTTAATCCATGATGCACTAAACAAAGGGTTTTTGGTGATTAATCTCCTCTTAATCTCATCCCAAAATACCCCTAAAAGAAATCCAAAGGAAAAAAAAAATTGACCAAAAAGAAAATTCCAATCTAGTTGAATTCATGTCATGATGAAACTCTAATGTGAGATGGAAATCTTCTTTGCTGGTGATCTTAATGTTGAAGGTGAAGAAGCAAGAGGAAGAACCTGTGAAGTACCTGAATGGTATTGTGGTTGCTGTTGATGGTGATAATTAAGATTAAATCCCATCTCTTTGCTCCTATCAACAATGAGTGTGATAAAAGGTCCATCTTCCTCTTCTTTGAGAAACTTTGAACTGGGAGATGCCTTATCTCCATTTTCTTGCATAAAAGCGTCCCCAGTTTGAACCTTTTTCTCTGCATCTTCCATCAATTTTCTCTTATGAAGTTTCTCCTCTGCATCTTGCAAGAACTTGAATTTTGGAGGAGGAGAAGATCTAATCCTGTTGAACTCTGCATCTGCTGATGATTCAAATAGGGGATTGAATCCCTGTTGGTTATAACCAAACTCCAGTGGGGTAAGAGGAGGAGTGAAAAATGGTGGGGAAGCAAGAGGGGTCAGATATGGAGTCTCAACAGTGAGAAGCAGATCACTCAAGCTCCTACTCCTTGACCCTTTTCTACTCTTGTTGTCAACTCTAGATTTTCCATCTTCAGACTCCAAATCCTCCTTTGTCTCCTCAATAATTGTGAAGAGAAACCTCGGTGGCCCTGAGAGACTGTGCAGCCTCATAAGCTCCGTCTCCACATCATCATGATCACCAAAAGGCTTGAGCAATAAGTCCTTGTTTGAGAGTTGATGAGACTGTGATTCTTGAACAAGTGTATCTGCAATCCTCAGCTCTTGAGGATTCAAAGCTCTGCTGCTCATGGAAGATGCTGATGGCCTCTTCCAACAAAACATATAAAGCAACTCTCTAGCTGGGTTACCGTAATCATTCTCAATATCTCTGCTAGTAAACCTCTTCTTCCACCATAACAAATAATAAAGTTCTGCAACAAGAGCTAACAAAAGGCATCCAAAAACAATACTCAAACCAAGCCCCACACCACTCAAAGATTTCATCCTCTATCTGCAAACTCTCATCATGCAACTAAATTTTTCTCTTTATTACCATCAAAACCCAGAAAATCTCTTTATCACTTCCAATACCTAGAGAAAGAAGAGAGAGAGAGAGAGAAGAGCAGAAACTTGTTGGGAACTTACAGAGAGTAGTCTCAATCTTCACAAAACACAAAACTTTGACTGGAGAAGCTCAAAAGAAACAACCACAGACACTGATTGATCTTCTCTGGCAACTTTATCCGCAAACCAACCAGAAGCCCACACCTGCTAAAACCCTTTTAAACTCTCTCTGAAAATTACATTCTGAAATCATGAAGCATTATTATGGAGGACTCTTTTACCACAAAACCCACATGAACTAAGCCACACACTTGCGGATAATTACAATGCCACGGCCAAAAACTAATAGATTTCAATAGAAAAAGAAGACAAAAAAGTTAAAAGGATTACAGATTGAAAGATTATATGTTATATATTATTTGAGTTGCTACAAACCCACAGCAGAGAAACCAGGGAGCTGATAAAAACACCTAGCAGCACGAGCAAAGAGGAGTCGTCCGCAATTGCGTCCTCCCAATTACTTTATAGTTGAGAGGTCGCGTTCTTCGAGGGAGGTTCACATGGGATCACAAATTAAAAAGGACAGTGATATTTCACTGGCAGCCATGGCAATTTCACCCGGGTTATGATCCGACCCGGACAAGGATGTGTTTGGGAGATAGTAGAAGGGAAGAAGAGCTCAGGTTATTTATTTGTGAATTTATTTATAATTTACTCTGAATTTAACAGGCATTTAAATTTACTATTTTATTATTCACATTATTTTAAATACCCAATATATCCTCAGTATATATTCTGACATTTTAACCCTAATTGTTTCTTCGGGTTCGTTTCGCTCGGAAGCTTCACTTCCCTCTGCTACTGAACAATGCTCTCTCGTCTTCTCCCCAAGCCCTCCCATTTTCGTCTTCTAACCCTAATTGCTTCCAAATCTCAATCATGTTACGATTCGCATGTTACCAACCCTATTTTCTCTTCTCTCATTAGACCTTTCTGCACCAACCACAATGATGACGACAATAACAAGAAGGTCAGAGATCAATCAACCTCGGACCCCTGGAAAATTTCCAGGGAAAGCGATTCAAAGTTCGACATTTTCTTCTCTCAAGATGCTGGAAACCTGCCCGGAATCACCGGCTCTGGCGAGAGTAGACCTGAGGATGGGTCGTGGTTAGACGCCAAAGGAGACAGTGGTGGCGACATATTTGGGGGAATCGATAAGGAGATTGGCGCCAGGAGCGAAAATGGTGCCCCCGGTGGCGGGATTGAAGATGAGTGGTTGACTTCGGAAGAGTACAAGCCGTGGAGCTTGGTGGAGGAGGAGAAGGTTGATGTGTTCGACCTGGGAGAGGATGTGAAGAGAGAAGGTGGAAGCAGAGGGCAAAGTGATGAGAGCTTGGAGAGTAAGAGAACCGAGGAGATAGAGAATCTCGCGAGAGAGGAGAAAGAGCTCACAGCTATTCTCAAAGGTAAGCTCTTTTTCTCCATGGCGTTTTGCTCCATACAAGCAAAAACTTATTTTGCTAATCTTATATGAATTCAAGTACTATTTTTCGTGCAATTGAATTAAATTTTCTCGGACGAAGATTAATGATGAATAATGGGTGTTCAGCTTTATCTGTACTTAGTTAATGCCGTAGGCTTTAGTGTTGAATCAGCTTGAATTTTCATGTTATATATGGAAGTATCATTCTTTGTTGACGGAATTTAGTGGGAGGGATTGAACTATTTATGTCAAATTTGATGAGGACTTGGAGTAGAAGAGCAAGGATGAGTATGTGTGTGTGATGGAGTTAAGAAAAGGACCGAATCTTCAAGTATTACGAAAAGCAAGTTGGACTTACATTGTCTTTTCTTTTCCTGTTTATCATCATCTTTGCTGTTTTCCTCATTTTGGAACTCAACCGTGTTTGTGGTATATGAATTATGCGTGTGATGCTGCATGAACATGCTTTTTTAGCATAGGTGATTGAGTTGGCATTTGGAGTCACCATGCATTTGAAAAACACTCCACTCTGTGGTTTAATCTCGAGTCTTTATTTTTTTGGAAATGCTATATCTGTGACATGATTAATTTTCTGCATTTTACTCTGTCTGGGTTTCTAACCATTCTTCTTTGATATTACTATCTGTCACATTCAACATTCATTGGTTCGATTCCTTTCTGATGAATATTAAATTTGTGATCTAAACAAGTTGCATCTTTAAAATTTGTCAGGCATATTTTGAAGCTTATATTGCCTGTACATAAATTATATCTAACTGTCCACTTCAAAGCATGTAGTTTCAAATTTCTAATTGACTTAACAAAAACAATATTGCAGGACCAAATCGTGCATTTGGGGATCTTATTGCAGCATCAGGTATAACAGATGATATGTTAGACAGTCTGATTGCCCTGAAGGACTTGGAAGGGGTTGAAGGATTGCCTCCTTTAAGTGTAATAGAAGATATGCGCTATGAAAAGAACACAAGAAGGTCATCAAGATATGAAATTGAACGCCAGAAACAGGAGGAAATTGCCAAAGCAAGAGTCAGACAAGTCGATGATAAGGGAAGGGCTTATGGAACTGGAAGAAGAAAATGCAGTATTGCCCGTGTTTGGATTCAACCTGGAGATGGCAAATTTGTTATTAATGATAAAGCATTTGATGTCTATTTTCCATTGCTTGATCACCGTGCTGCCCTTCTTCGACCTTTCTCTGAGACAAAGACTTTGGGTTTATGGGATGTGGACTGCACTGTTAAAGGAGGTGGCATGACAGGTACCTTTTCGTCTATAAGGACAAATGTTTTAATTAATCATGAATAACATAAGGGCTGCAGATCTTCTTTGTTGTTTTCTCTTGATGATTGTTTTTGGAACTTCATTTTACTTCTATTACTTTCTGTACATGGGTTATAAAATAAATCATTTGGGTTCTATCAAAAAAATAAAATAAAATAATCAATGGGATGCATGGTGGCAGGTCAAGTTGGAGCAATACAACTTGGGATCAGCCGAGCATTGCAAAACTGGGAACCAGATTTGCGTCCTCCACTCAAAGCCGGTACTGTCTTTCAGAAGAGTCTAGAATTCCTTGTCTTTTCATTATCTTTAGTGCAATATTACTTTCAGGTCATTTCACCTAAAGGCCCATTCTTTAGGTTTGGGATTGACATATTTTCTGCATATCCTAATTGCCATGCCTTGCTTTATTTTGCAAAGAAAAATCTGGATTTGTCATTTGATGAGGTTCTGCTAATTAAATCACAATATGTTTTCCACCTGTTTATCAGTTGGTTTCTTGACGAGGGATTCGCGTGTGGTGGAGAGGAAAAAGCCTGGAAAAGCAAAAGCAAGAAAGAGCTTCCAGTGGGTGAAGCGTTGAGAAAAATACTCTTGCACTATCACTTTGTGAATTTTACCTACCAACTTGGAGTTTTGCCTCGGATACACTTACAGTGCCTGGTACTCAATCAGAAATCTAACCTTGAATGGTAAAGATTTTGTGAACCAGGAAACAGAAGTTATCCTTTGAGCAAATTTTTTGGTTCGGTGATTATGCATTGTTTGGTCCCAATATAGTAACCTCAATGCTGGAAGATGCTCTTCTATTTAATCCCCATTAAATTCTGTGATGTACAATTTAAATAAATGTTATATAAAAGGGTTGGCACAATCAGGGGAGTATCCTTAGCTTTCTTTCCATTTAAAACTAGGTTGGTCCTGCCATAATCTTTCCCTTGAACTATAATTATTAACCACTGTTCACTTCATGGACATCATGATTTGAATGGGTAAGAAAAGGTACTGCATTGTTTCAGCTAAGAGACTCCCAAAGACAAATGAATGACGTATAAATATATGTATATATATATATGTGTGTATATTGTGAGGTTGAAGTTGTGTAATTTGTAGTAATACTGGGGTCCATGGGGCTCCATTGCAAAGGACATATTTCATGTTCGTACGTATATATTGTATAAGTAACTATTAAAGATATATATAGAGCGTTTAAAAATTCTTAGTTTTTTCTCATTTTTATATCGTATAATAAATAAAAATTCTATTGAAGGATCCAAACTTGATGATGGGTTGGACTGGAACCATGCACAAACAGGCAAAGATGCTATGGGCTTAACATTTTGGGCCCAATCTTGAATATCTGATTAGATATGGCTTATAACTAACATGTTCTTGTAAAATGTACTTCACAATCAATTGTCAGAAACAAATTTCATCGATTACTTACCAGAAAATAATCCGACCATTCATCACAATATTTCTCTCAACAATGGCCGAGATGATGAACACGGTGGCGTGGCATCGGTACGGCACACCGGGCAATTGGTATGTGAATAAAGCCACATATCAATACACGGAGAATGATAAGAATGGCAGCACTCCGGCAAGGTACGTAACTCTTCACCCTCTTCAAATTCACACAGACAAATTGTGCAAGTGTTTTCACAGACTGTACCCTTTTGGTATTTATGAGCTGGGATGTGTTGGGCCGTGGGAAAATTCTCACAAGTAATCGGATGTTCTCCTCTTTCGGGCTGCAATGTTTCCGGTTGTTGTTAGCCCAAAACAGTAGCACGTCGGTTGAAACACCCGGCGACAATACAATGGTAAGTTAGCACAACAAATACGGTGCAGCCAAACCCTATTAAAATCAGCGGTAAGTTGTACGAATTAACATTATCTTCGTCCATTTGTGATTAAAGAGAGTAATTGCAAATGAGTTGATCATAGAAGAGGGTTAATTTGAAAAATTAGTATATGATCGATTGTTACAAGATTAGCATTTGTTTACATATGAGACTTGGTTACTAGTTTAATTTATCTTGAGGGCATTTTCAAAGGGCATGTTTGGTTGTCACTTTGGATTTCACGAATAATAATACCTCTTGAGCCCAAATCTTGTATTCTAACTATGTGGTAATAATTTCGGTATTTATCTGTCTCCATAGACTCTGATATATTTGATGATAAATTATAATTTCATTCCGTATAATTTAATTATATTGAAATATAACTTTTGTTTTTTGTAAAAAATTTAAATAATAATAAATATGAAAATCACATAAAATGAAATATGTACTTTACTATATATTTTACTCAAATATTTTCATATTAGATATATAAAAGTTTACAACAATTACACATAAACTGATATAACTGTACATGTACACAATCAACAACGAATTAATTTATAAAAATTTTGTTTGTAATGGTACTCGTAGCATTTACGGTTTAAAATAATCAATTATTTGACATAATAAAGTAAATTTTATACTATTCATGTGTATTATTATATATACATATATATATATAAGAGCAAATGTGGATCATGTGAAATGTAGAATGTTGTGGTAGATTAGGTGGAAAAATAAAAAGGGGGATTAGGCCAATTTTCCAATTTTGTATGCAATAAAAGTGAAAGATATTTGGAATCTTGAATTTGTAGCAACTATTCCACTTTCAAATCATTGCTTACTTCTTCATCACCACTAGCCAATCAATGCACACTTCTATGGACCATACAATAAAAACCCATATATATATTTTTTTATATTAATAAATATAAAGTACATACATACATACATACATACATACATACATATGAATCTAAAGCAACAAGGTACTATCAAGGACATTATTGTTGATTAGGTAACCTTAAGTATATCCACTAATTCAACTAAAATATCAATGGAGATTCTTTTCTCAATTTTTCCCCTTCATATCCAAAAAAATCTTTTTTATAATATCAATAACAATTTTACAATTATAATTAAAGTATTTTAAATTACTAATAATTATCAAATGTTATAACAACCAATACTAATAATATTGATAAATAGCAATTTTTTTACTAGCAATTTAAATATTGAATTTCATTAAAAAAAAAAGCCAAAATGTTATATTTTTTAAATAAATCATTTATTTACTCGATTAAATTAATTAATTAATTTATTTATTTATTTTAAGAAATAAAAAACAAAATAATTCCTAAAGTCATTGACTTTTGCTTTCTTGTGGTTTTGGATAATGCAAGAGAGAGAAACATTTCTCTTTTACTTTCGGTACAATAATTAAAAAAAAAAAAAAGATAAGATAAAGATATGATACAAATTTGACACATCATTGAAAAGCATTATATTATTTGAAGTAAATATTTTTAAAATATTTAATAGAATATTCGTATAAAATAAGTTTAAAAATTTATAATTACATATTTATAATAAAATTTAACTTCAAGAGAGACAAATAATATAATAAAAATAAAAGAGTAAAATTTTTAATTTTTTTTAATAAAGAAATTATATCGCTGAATTATAAAAAACTTTTTATAGTAACTTAATATCTTATTTATATATTAATAAATTTTTTATATATATAAACTTATTGAATTAAACTCATAAATAAATTATTTTATTAAATTTTATTTTTCTCGTATTTTTGATTTTGATATTGTATCAAATAATAATGTGAAAATATATATTTCTAAGAACTTGGACCCAAAAAATAAAAAAAGTCAAGTGTCCCTTCAAAATATATGAAAAAAATAAACTTTAAAATAAAATGAATTTAAAATCTATATCTATGTAAGCACATAAAACCGTCCCATAAATAGGGCCAGGAGCTTCTTGTCTCTTCAACATTTCTTTCTTCATATTTTTTTGGGATTGTGATTATCCTAATAAGAGTTGCATAATTTATAATCTTTGATAGGTAGAGTAAAGAACCCACATGCTGACTTCAATTATATAATACTCATATATATGCATATATAATACATACATGTATGTGGTGGGAAGAATAATAACGAAAATAATAATTAGAAAAGTAGATGGGAGGATATTGATAACCAACAAATATATGATGCAACACCGGGCCCACTAACTTTACACATGTTTGCAGTTGGCTTGTCATGCCCCTAAGTTTTATATTTAATTAGAAATATATAAAAAAAAGTTAAGCCTTAATTTTAAATAAATTATTATTATTATTTTTGTACAAAAAGAGACAAAAGTAAAAAAAAACAATTAAGATATAGTCATGCACATCCGGAGGTAGGAGACAGACACCCATGATATCATCAGTGAAGAGATATTGGAGATCATTCGGCACATGAACATGAGAGTGGAGGCCCATCGGTAGAGAGATGCCGACATTTGTCAACCAATCAACGCATCTATTTCCCTCGCGATTAACATGTTGGATCCTGACATGCCAGTCCTATAATATCAAGTGTTTGATATCACGAACGAGAGCGGTAGATGCATTAGTGTTATAATTCTCCTCAGTAAGTAACTGCACCACCAAAACGTTATCTATTTCTAGGATAATATGACAGAATCTAGAATGCCAAGTGAGTTGAAGGCGATCGAGTGCACCCCAAGGCTCGGCCTGAAGCATTGAACATCTGTCAATCTTCCTACTGAAGCTTCTTTGGCAAACACCATCCTCATCCCTAATAAGTCCGCCATAGCAGACGAGGTTGGTAGCCGCACGATAAGTATCATCTTTGCTAAGCTACAAGCTTTTTTGACCTGTGTGCCATACCTGAAAAAAAAAAAAGTAAATATTCATATTATTAGCTATAAAAGTATAATAAGTCATGAGTCCTTAGCAAGCTCATCGATGCTACTCTCACTCTTTTGGAAAATAAACTTATTCCTGTAATTCCACAAGCTCCAGCAAGTAAGTTCAAATGTCACTATCCAATCTTGACTTGTTTTACACTAGGGCCAGTTGTTTTTAAGTTTCAGCATCAACCACTTATCAACAGTACCATAGAAAAAAGTTGAATGCGCTTCAGCAGGTATGATCTTCAACCACAGCAGTTTAGCCACGCTGCAATTATGGAGGACATGATCCACATCCTCAATAAATAGGGTCACCACACCAACTGCACTCCATAATAGAGGACATGTGACGTTGGTATCTCTCCCAATTCGTTAAGATCTTCCCCTTAGCAGCCAACCAAAGGAACGTACACACCCGTTGAGCACCTGCCAACGCCAAATGTCTCTTTAATTTCTATCATCCGAATGTCAATGTTCGCTCTCCAAGAGGGCGTAGGCCAAGTTAACTGATAAACACCCAAAGCTCATCATATCCCAAAAGCAGGAGTCCGGGATATTATCATCTCTAGGGATTGGTACCGCAACCATCTGGAACAGCGTGTCCATCGGCAACACTCGGTGCAGACTTCCCAGTTCCATTGGCTAGACGACACCACGTAATCCCTGACACATCTATAGAGATCATGCTCAGCAATAGTGCGAAGCCAAAGCTTAGCGGCCCAAGTCCTCAACCAACAGTCTCTGAAAACTACATTTCTTTCAATCCAATAGACCATTTGATGCCATACGAAGATCTGTCCAAAGATGGTTAAGGTTGCGCCAAAAATGGAAAATTGGTCCGGTCAGCTTGTAACTCTGCGATAAGCCAGACCATCTGTATTTGTGGGTGATGACCTAGACCCATAGTAGATTGAGTTTCGCAACTATAGAAAAACCCAATTTCATTAGGAAAGCTTAGTTTTGCTTGTGGACAAACCGAAGTCCGCTTCTCCCAGCATCGTAAGGCATGCACATATCAATCCAACTAATAATGCCAATTTTTCGGTTGTCACTCCCTTGACCTCAGAAGGTGAGTGTTCTAGCCAGATAGCTTTTGATTAATCTTATCAAGAATGTAATGATAAGTATCTTTGTTTACTCTTTCATTTAGCAAGGGAACTCCTAAATACTTACCAAAATTATTGAAAACTTGAAACCCAAATATCTTACTAAGACGACTTCCCTCACCCGTGGTAAGATTATAAGAAAAGAAAATAAATGTTTTGGTCGCACTCACCTTGTGGCTCGAGCTGGCACAAAGACCCTCTAAGACTTCCTTTATAACCTGAGTCTGGTCCTCAGTGGCTTTCCCAAGGAGTACTAGGTCATTTGCAAAGAAGAGTTGTGAAAGGGCAGGACCTTTCTTACTAAGGCGGATCGGCTTCTACGTACTATTTCTTACCCAGGTATTGATGCAATGAAATAGCCGTTTCATGCATAACACAAATATGTAGGGTAAAAGCAGGTCCTCTTGTCGGATGCTTTTAGTAGGCTGGAACTCCTGGATGAGACAGCCGTTCCACAACAATTGCATGGAATAAGACGAGATACACTGCATGATGATTCTGATAAGGTTAGGAGGGAGACCAACATCAAGCAGAGTGTCCTTCACATATTCCCAATGAATGTGATCATAAGCTTTTTTTAAGTTCACCTTAATGGTCATCCATTTATCTTTCCCCCGCAGATGTCGCATAGAGTGGACCACTTTTTGGACAATAATAATGTTATCCGTGATATTCTTACTAGCTTTAGGGTAGGGCCAACCAAAAAAGGCATTAAGTGCTTGAGTCTATTGGCAATGAGTTTAGTAATAATTTTATATAACACTGTTAATAAGCTGATCGGACAAAATTCTTTAATAGTCTATGCTCTAGCAACTTTAGGGATGATGGTAATAAGAGTCTTGTCGATCTTAGCAGATAGTTGTTCACCATAAAAGACACCATTGATCATTGCACATACCGACTCACCCACAATCTCCCATTGGTTTCAAAAGAATGTTGTATGAAGGTCATCCACTTCGGTGGCCTTCAATGGGTGCATGCTAAATAAAGCGTCGTAAATTCATGGTTTGTAATCTTATAGTCCAATTGAATGACCATAGTCACTGTTAACTTTGGAACAAGCCTCTAACAGGGTACTATTGTATGAGTCCCTCTTCGGCCATATAAAGGTTCTAAAAAAAGGTGGAGGTCATTACCCGAAGCTTGCCTTCATCGGTACTCCAGTTACCATCTCCATCCTTAACCATACTAATTTTGTTCTTTTTCTTTTTAAAGATAGTTTGGGCATGAAAGTATTTGGTGCTCCTGTCTCCTAGAGAAATCCTATTACATCGAGATTTTTATTTTCAGAGCATCTCTTCTTGCAGTAACACCCCCTCTAATTCCTCTTTCAAGTAATTTTTCAACTATTGAAGCCGAACAGAGTGGTGTCTCTCCAATGCCCGTTGGATCCCATCCAGTCTTGTTAGGAGGATCCGTTTTCTTTAAGTGATATGGCTAAACACATTTCTATTCCAGTCATGCACAGTCTCGCTGAAGTTACTAATGTTCTCATGGATAAAAATATGGTTTTCCCAATTTTTCCTAACCAAGTTAGGGAAATCGGGGTGGGATAGACACGCAGCTAAAAAGCGAAAGGGCTTGGGGTCCTTATTGTGAGAGTGACAGGTGTAAAGGATAATCATGATAGGCCTATGATCATATTACACTTTTGAAAGGTAGTGAACAATGGCCTCCAGGAAGTGGTTGAACCATCTTTAGTTACAGATAACTTTATCAAGCTGTTGAAAAAGGGTCTCACATCGCCATGTAAAGTTCGGTCCTACATAATCAAGCTGCTGCAAAGAATTAACATCAATAAACTGGTTAAAAAGAGTGCAATCTTTAAACCGTGTAATTTGCCCCCCTCTTCGATCGTCCGACTCTAGTATGACATTGAAATCCCCAATAAGGAGCTAAGGGCGATCCAAGTTATGCCCGATAGTGGTGAGCTCCTCCCAAAGGTCTTTTCGTTTCTAGGGGTTTGGGCTCCCATAAACATAGAGAGAGAAAAATCTTTCCGACCATTATTCCTACTTATCTTGGAATGGATAAAATGACGATGGTTGTAGTCCACACTAACCGGATAAACTCTCTCCACATCATCCAAATGCTCCCCGAAAAACCAACCGCCTCAACTCTATGGGAGTAGTTGAAGCCCAGGTTCTTGATCACTTTATCCGCTTTCTTGCCTGTTGTCCTGGGCTTCAACAACACAACCAAGGCAGGGTTGTGGATATTAATAAATAACTTTAGGGCACGCCAGAGACTAGCTTTTGCAGCGCCCTAACAATGTCATATAAGAAATAAGCAATCCATAGGGTAAGAGTAAGAGAAAGAGGAGCTGATGCTCAGGAGAAGGACTATGCTTGCTCTTTTTGAAGGGCATCGACCGCGCTCGAAACAAGATTTACATCCTTATTGACAACCTTTTGAATTTTAGACAAAAGAGGGTTGATTGTAGTAGAATTAGTGGATGTAGTTGCCTCGTCCC